TATTGAATCCTACGAACTTCACACTTCAGGCACGAAATCATCTGTTAGAAAGCCCACAGTTTTATTAGGTCTGTAGGATTTAATTAAGTTTAAACTCAAATAATAAGAGTCGTGTTCTTCTAAGTATGGGCAAAATTTGTGATGGGTCACCGTTGTTAATTAGGTTAATGATGTATTGATTAAAGTGATAAGCTTGAAAGAAGGAACGAGTTTCTGTTCTAATCAAAACCACTATGACCATAGAATAGAAAAAGAATAGCAGGGTTTCTTTGTTTCCTCATGTGTTACATGGGTGATAGTTTGGATGTCTCTTAGAACAACTATAACATGACCCCACCTACATAAAGAGAGAAAGTGGCAATTTTGTTTTGCCTGCTACTTTGATTTCACGAGTCTTTATCCATTTCTTTCAGGGGTTGATAGTATAGGCACAATACCATCTGCTCTTGTAACATATGCTACTATTCAAGCATTACAACCGGACTTGATCATCAATGCAGGCACTACTGGTGCCTTCAAGGTTGGCACTGTCTTCTCCCAAGGCAATATATAATAGTGTTAGACTTGTCGGATTACTAGTTTTCAACTCCCAAATCTCCATGTTATATATTTTGCATCTCTTCCTGGGTTAGCTTGTTTTGATCCTCTATCTCTGAAATTATTGACCTATTCATTTTTGCAATAGTTTATCGTAAGTTCTGGTACAATGTTTTTCCTTCTTTATCCACACCGGTGGCGAAGTTGATGTAATTGTTTTGAATATGACCCTGTAATCTATGTTAAATACTATGTTAAATACTGCTTCTTATATTTTTCTATTTTTTTTATGAATAAACTTATAACCTAAGTGTTTTACGGTGAAAATCATTTAACTAATGTATTATTGTGGTGCAATAAGTTATCTACTCAATAAGGAAGATCAAAAAATATACTTTTCTTTTGCCATTGTAGAGTCTCTATCTTAGGATGATCAACTCTGAGTTATTTTTTTGACCTTTCCTTAACTATTGGTTCTTTCCCAACTTCAACGTGAATATTACCAAGTTGTTATAAGATATCATGTCCTGAGATTGCCACTGGTTGACTTATATTTTCAATAGTTCCATCAAACCTCCTACGAGTCAATCTAAACTTATGTCTTCCATCTAACCACCAATGATGACTTACAAAACAAAATTTCTCACCTTTGACAAGCTTCTTTGGAGTAGTGTCAAAATTACATCTTGGACACGTCAATCTTGTATGTTATTCCATCCAGATAAGGTTCCAAGTCTTGGGAAGTCACTAATAGTCCACAATATGGTTGCATGCATATCAAATACTTCATTCCCATATGAATCAAAAGTTTTGATGTCAGTGTTCCACAACTCTTTCAATTCTTCTATTAATGGTTGTAAGTAAACATCAATATCATTGTCCGTTGCTCGCTTTTTAGGAATGATCATGGATAGAATGAATGAACTTTGTTTCATACACATCCAAGGAGGAAGGTTGTATGGCATGAGAACAACTGGTCAAATACTGTGATTGGTGCTCAAGTTGCCATATGGATTGAACCCATCAATAGCTAAACTGAGTCTCACATTTCGAGGCTCTAAGTCAAATTGAGGGTGCATCAAGTCAAATTTCTTCCATGCTTCAGAATCTCTTGGATGTCTTAACATGCCTTCATTTGTACTTTCTGATGCATGTCATCTCATATGCTTAGCTATTTTAGATGACAAAAACATCCTTTGAAATCGAGGCTTCAAAGGAAAATACCTTAACACCTTTGTAGGAATCTTCTTTCGCTTATTAACAACTACATCGTCACCAATATTATTTCTCCTTTTTGGCTTCCATCTTGATGTCTTACATTTCTTACAAGAATCTCTATCTTTTTCTTATCCAACATATAACATACAATCATTTGGACAAGCATCAATTTTGGTGTAATGAAGACCAAGCTTGTTAATAACTATTTTTGCTTCATAGAATGAATTTGGAATTTTAGCATGTTCAAATGCATCTGCTAGCAACTCCATTATCATGGTCATAGCTTTGTTACTTATTCTGCATAGACATTTGATGTGATACAACTTCACCAAGAAAGAAAGTTTTGAATATTTATCACATCCTTCATATAAGCTTTGTTGTCCATCTTGCATTAATTCAAAAAAATTTGTCCCATCATGACTTCCAGTATGGCTTGACTCTACACCCATCTCGTCATCATCTGTCATGTCGTTGTTAGAGAAACGATGTGCAAATACATCATTAATCATTTCACACATATTATCATTAATTTCAATTCTTTCACCATCTTCTTTGGTCATTACTTGAGGAGCTTTGGTCATAACTTGAGGCGCTTCGTCATTTATTCTTCTCTCCCATGTAGAAGACACACTGTATACCCCTTTTGGAAAAGGATTAATAATTAAGTTCTCATATACTTCTTCATGACTTTGCCATTTCTTAAAATTGCATTTCTAACCTGGACATATTATCTTTCTCCTAACACCATTATTAGTGTATGTGAAGTCCAAAAAGGTATCAATCCTCTCATATATTAACTTGTATTTCAAGGCATGTTTATTCATGATTTGTTCATTAAAATAACCTTTATTCATACCAAGAGGATTGGAAGGTTAGAATAAGTGACCATATTCAATGAAATACACTTATAGAATTGAAAAAATCAAAACTAAGTAGTTCCCCTACTTAGTTATGAAATTATTGCCTGGCATAATTTAATACTAAGTAGTACACCTACTTAATGTTAAAAGTAAATGATGAATGAATAAAAACTACATTCAAGTTAGTTTCAGGATGATCAGCATTTTGCTTAATGCAAGTTGTCAGAACCATTAAATTCAACAGTGAGTGGAAGCCAGGTGTAGGGGTAAGGGTTTAGAAAATTCAGAAAGTGGAAGACAGGTGTGTGTAGCTGATTGGCCGATCGGTTTTTTGACGGTAGTATATAAGAAATTTCTTCAAACATCGAGCCAATTTCTGCATGCACCTCTTCTCTCCAAATTTCTGAATTTCTCCTCCTTCTATCTACAATTCTCCTTCTCTACAATTCTCCTTCTTCTCTCTACAAATTCTCACTTCCTCCTTCTTCTGATCATCATCTAGGCTGTGTGTGAGTTCTTCCTTGGTGGCAAGAAATTCTTTTCCATCAATCTAGTAGCTATGTGAAGTGGGTAAGTAAACTCATTCGTTTTTTTTAAGTTTCGGTATTTTCTAGAACATGCAAGCACTGTGCAGCTTGCATGTGTTCTTCATCTATCTCTCTCTGAACCTATTTCTGTTTTGATCCTCTGGTTGGTCCCTTTTCACCGATCAAAATTGTAGTGGGTTGCTTTAGAAGTGGGTTTTGGTTAGTCAAAGTGGTGGAAGCTTAGGAAGTGCCTAGTTTATTCAAGGTAAGGGAAGCTAGTGATTTAATTATATTTTTCTGTGTTTGGAATTGATGTGTGGAAGCTTGCATATATGAATAATGGTGTGTTTGATTGAATTGTATTCAAATGTTGTATTTGGCCGAGACATGTGAACTGGACTAGGGTTTTCCTGTTGTAGAACGTTCGGTCATTTCTGGTTGGGAATGGAAGCTTATGAAAATATGAGTGCTGAGCAGTGTGTAATAGGTTCAGTGGAATAGGTTTATAATAACTTAGAAATCAAGTTTGGAAGTTTAGAAATTAAGAAAAAAATGCCTTGTTTTGGTTTAAGAAGTGTTATTCAGAGTTTTGCTTTAATTGACCATTCGGTCGTGTTATGTACTCAGCCATTTACAGGTGTTCCGTCTATTAGAGGTATTATCTAAGTATGACCGTTCGGTCTAATCACAATTTTTTTTATATTAAACTAGAGTTCGGTTTGAGCTATGAGTGTGCGGTGTAAGCTCTTTGGAACTGGATTAAGTTCCTAATAGTCGGTTTCTATAGCGGTCGGTCAATAATAGTGTTCGGTCATTTCCTTCTGTTCCGTCTCTTACGAAGCGTTTGGTTCTCTCGGTTGGATAGTGGGAAAGTGTTTGGTCTCTAACGTTCACATGTTCTCTTTATTGTATGAATGAAAATGTAATTGATGAATGATAGATCATGTTAAATATGATAATTGTGACCTTTAAATACAATGGAAGAGAATTCCAAGACGGAATGTCTCGTGTATGGTTATTGAATTGTAAAGTATGAATATGAAATGTTTCGTGTATGGTTATTCATAATTACCTTTATCATCACTTTAGGCACGACCTCCTCATCTAGCCTCTTCCTCCAAGATCCCTTCGTCTGAAGTATCAAGTGGCTCAAACATCGTCCTCCTTCGTTGCTCGTGTGTCTCCAAGAACCTAGCAAGCTCTTAAACCGAGACCATCTCAATTGACAAAACTCCTCTGAGTTGATTTGCTACCGTCTTCACTCGAGATGTATCACATTTAAAATTGACAAAACTGTCAAACATAAACAATTAAATATATCACATTTAAATTTATCCTAACAAACACCACAGCTTCCAAGATTTTTTTCAGCAAATATCGTTAGGACCATATTTCTCATACATCTAAAACAGAATACTCTCTTGATCTTACCTTGGAACTCGGTCTCTGATAATTTTCTAAAAGGAGCCCCTTTTGAACGCTGACCTCCAGATACGAACCCTGGCTGTCCCTTTTCCTTCGTTGAAACTAATAGAACCTTCTGTTTCTCTGGAAAAACTTCTGTGGACTGTATAAGGCTTGTAGGTAGCCTTAGGTCGTCCAACATTAGATGAAAAGATCTAATAGATGATGTGTGTTATGTTTCTTTGATGAATTCAAAGCCGAAACTATAATCAGAAGATAGAGGAAGATAAAAAGATCCAACTATTTTTAGGCAGAAACTGATGGTTGAACAAAAAACATTTCATAAAATTTCATTGGGCTATGAAGTTATGACGTTTGCATTAAGCTAAGTGTAAAACATGTTACAAGATATGTCTTCCCGCCTCTATCATGGAATAAATCATAACAAACCTAGTGAAAAACAATGATAAAGCAAAAGACATGAAAGCGTATTGAGCTAAGAAATCATAAAATTCCACAGTCCTTCACCCCCAAATCCACCCTCCCTCCCCAATCCTAGGCTCATCCTAGCCCCAGGACCAGCCCAGAAAATCGGACCTCACCTCCCTCATCATTTCCGTCGAGAGGCCCTTGAAAGATCGTCAGACAGAATCAATGTCCATGTGAGACATTAATTCATGTATTTACCAGCATCTATCTATTTACTCAACAAAATTATAGAAGTTTGATGTTGCGAAAGGGAAATCAGACAGGGCCGGTAACTTAAATGAATGGAAGAACAATCATAAGAGCCTTCATCATCCCCCCACAACAACAACAACATTGTCGCGGGTTGCTCTGTTTCTCAACCTCACCCTCCTACAACGTGCAAACATGCATTGCCACCCTCCAATCGTGTGCCCACAATGCAAACCTCTCCAAGGGCAAGGAACTCCACACCCACTTGCTCAAAAACGCTTTCTTTGGATCCCCGCTCGCCATCACAAGCCTCATCAACATGTACTCCAAGTGCACCCTCATCAACCACTCCCTCAGAGTCTTCAACTACCCCACCCATCTTGACAAAAATGTCTTTGCCTACAACGCTCTCATTGCTGGTTTCGTTGCAAACGCTCTTCCCCAACGTGGTTTTGCTCTATATAAGCAAATGAGACATCTGGGTGTCGTTCCTGATAAGTTCAGTTTTCCGTGTGTCATCAGAGCCTGTGGCGATATTATGGAGGATTTGGAGGTTAGGAAGATTCATGGGTTGTTGTTCAAATTTGGGTTGGAGTTGGATGTGTTTGTTGGCAGCGCGCTGGTAATTACTTACTTGAAATTTGGAGCGGTGGAGGATGCGCATGAGGTGTTTGAGGCGTTGCCTGTGAGAGATGTGGTGCTTTGGAATGCAATGGTTAATGGGTACGCGCAGATTGGGAGGTTTGAAGAGGCTTTGGTGGTATTTAGGAGGATGGAGAGAGAAGGGGTGATTCCTTGTAGATACACTGTTACTGGGGTCTTGTCGATATTTTCTGTGACAGGGGATTTTGACAGTGGACGTGCTGTTCATGGGTTTGTGACAAAAAGGGGTTATGAATCAAGTGTTGTTGTTTCTAATGCATTGATTGATATGTATGGGAAATGTAAATGTGTTGGTGATGCGTTGACTGTGTTTGAGGTGATGGTGGAGAGAGACATTTTTTCATGGAATTCGATCATATCAGTTCATGAACACTGTGGTGATCATTACGGAACTTTGAGGCTTTTTGATAGAATGCAGGTAAAAGGGGTTCGACCTGATTTGGTTACTATTACAACAGTACTTCCTGCTTGTACTCATCTTGCAGCGCTGAGGCATGGTAAAGAGATACATAGGTATATGGTTGTAAATGGGTTGGGGAAGGAAGAAAGCCACAATGATTTTGATTACGTTTTGTTGAACAACGCTTTGATGGACATGTATGCGAAATGTGGAAACGTGAGAGATGCATGCACGGTTTTTGACAACATGAGGGAGAAGGATGTGGCCTCGTGGAACATCATGATAACAGGTTATGCAATGCACGGTTATGGTGATGAGGCATTGGATATTTTTGGCCGTATGTGTGAAGCTGAAATGGTACCTAATGAAATCAGTTTTGTGGGATTGCTGTCTGCGTGCAGCCATGCTGGGATGGTGAAGGAGGGGCTTTGGTTTCTATCAGAAATGGAGTCAAAGTATGTTGTTTCTCCATCCATTGAACACTACACTTGTGTGATTGACATGCTCTGTAGGGCAGGGATGCTGATGGAGGCTTATGAGTTAGTGCGAAGAATGCCATTTAAGGCTGATCCTGTAGGATGGCGATCTCTGCTAGCAGCATGCCGAGTCCACAAGGACAAGGACTTGGCTGAGATTGCAGGTAGTAAGGTGATTGAACTTGAGCCAGGCCACTGTGGAAACTATGTGCTGATGTCAAATGTTTATGGAGACGTTGGTCGATATGAGCAAGTGTCAGAGGTGAGGCATACAATGAAGCAACAAAATGTGAAGAAGAGACCTGGTTGTAGCTGGATTGAACTTGTTAATGGTGTGCATGTTTTTATAACAGCTGATAGGACTCATCCTCACACTCATTCTATTTATGCAGGCTTAAACTCATTAACAGTTGTTCTGCAAGAGCATGGTTATGCCCCCTTTCTCTAGCATATGAACGCCATTTTCTGTCATCAGCTTTTGTATTTTCACACTTGCTGAATTATCACATTTTCAAATTAATGGATTTGTTTTCTCATTACAGATATAGCTTCTCCACTCACGTTTAGGGGTGGTAGAAAATTGTGTATATTTTTAAGTAAAACTTGTTATTAATTCACTATGAATAATTAAATGGATTTCTGTCTATTAGCATGATAGATAATGCTTGCACTTTACAATTTTTTAAATATTTT